CCCACCTCTCCACCCACTTAAAATGTTCAAATAATACAGGTTCAAGAAAAACGCATTTTTTTCTTCATTAAAATCATATCTAGGTTGAGAAACTGCCTCTCCCTACATCTAGAAAAAATACAATTAATGGCTAGCATGAAAAATTACATTCACAAAAACTTCATTTAAGGAGATATTAAAAAAGGTCTTGCTAAAAAAAAATTATTATAATGCTCTCACCAGACCACTGCATACTTTCAGATAACTAAACTCGTTTGTTTACATTAAACATTCTTTAATCCTTATTTTGTTAATTAACAAGTTTAAAAATAAGATTAATATAAAAATATATTCGATGTAAATTCCTAAATAATGCCAGCACAGCCTTTCCCCTCATGTTCACCCAACTAACTTTAAACTGCAAACTGCTGTACAGTCAATTTTACTCAACTAAGATTTGTTTACATTTAAACCGGTTTTTACAGAGTACATTTGTCAAACCAATGTACTGCAGTACGTTGGTACATTGTGAAGTGCAAGTAGAAGAAGATGAGGAAAGGGGTTGCACATTTTACCAAGGAATATTTTATAAAATTGAAGGTATATTCCTAGAGAACGATTTTTGGACCCCCCCAAGAAAGGGAATGACAAGAAAAAAATATCATGATGATTTCTTAAGAATTTTTACAAGTTTACAAAATAATTGCGGGACCACTGATAATGACCAAATTCAACAATTAAATCATTTTTTCAAAAATTTAGGATAATATTTGCTGTTTACAGGTGTGGGGGTGGGCAATGGAATTGTTCCCCGGTGACCCCGGTAGACTCCTAAAAATAAATTTTTAAAAAGATAATATAAGTATACATACCCAAAAAAATTGCATGTTTCTTATTGAAACTTTACAGGGTGTCCCCTATGATATTAGGCTATAGCAAACCTTCAAATTTTGACCCATCACTTCTCGGAACTATATGGAGGGGCCGGGAGGGGGGGGCAAATTTTCCCCACCACGTACATGACTACGTCCCCTGCTTCCAACCGTCAGTTAAGTCTCATTTTGGATAGGTTACCCAGTAGAATGTAAATACAGTCTCCGAAAAGAAAAGAGAAAGCCACCTGAACTTTCTTCAAAACCTTCCCAGGGATACCTATACATCACGTTTACTTCAAACAAAACTTTTTGAGCTAGCCAACATCCCAGATTCGGGAATGATTGTTTCCAAATAATTTTTTATTTTTTTGATAAAAATATATTGACCTGAGAAAACTTTCTTCTGTATATCTCTATACAGACGGTTTATGAGTCATATTTAAACCAATGGTATATTTTCCCATTACAAATATTCGCTCAAAAGTTATCAGTGAAAAACAACGTGGTATTCTAGGCGATTGGACAGTGATAATTATAAAACAATGGAATTGGAAGACGACAATCTAGCAATACTTAAGTACATTTAAGATTTTACAGAGCAAATTATTTAGTTTAACACTTATTAGATCAGTAATTTAGTGAAATGGGTCTATTTACACTGCAAAATTGCGGTGCACCAAAATTGCTGTGGAGTTTGTGCTTATTTGACTTATATATAAAATTTATAACTTGATTCTTAAAGTTGGTTGCCTATTCTAGAGTTTCTGGTTATCATTTTATCTATAATCTAAGTGAAATGCGGCTCTATCAATTAATGTCATTAACAGTCTATTACATTATTAACGGGGCGAAGCGTTGAAAACAAATTTAAGAAATTGTTTACTGCGCAGCCTTTAACGGTCTAATTCAGCGCCAAACAATTCTTGTTAATGGTCTATTTCAGTAGTAATGGCGCGAAGCGTCAAAAAATCTTTAACTGTTATGAAATCCTTAACTGAGCTGTGAAGTCGTTAATGATCATTTAACGGCATTAACGGTTTGTAAAATCGTTAACGACATTAGCAGTTGAACTATGTATTCTGAGGAGAACCCAGATTCTTTAACGGCTGGACAAATTCCAACTTTTTTAATCAAAATTTAAAGGTACTGCGATCTTTTTTCAGCACTTAAAGCACTAGGCTTCTAGGGCGCCTCACGCCCATCTTCTATTTCAACTTTTATTAGTGACTTTATGTGAGTATCTGCTCTATTTACAATATAAAACAACAACAAAAAAAGTTCCCAGATTTCATAATATTTTTTTGCGCATTTTCAATTTAAAATTTAACAAAAATCAACGCCTTTTGGACACACGTTTTTGTAATTTTGAGCATCCATAAACCTTGCTTGGGGTCATGTGTGGTCCCACACAAAATTTGGGCCTGATCCATGCAGCCGTTTTGAGTATATTAGACACAAACGGACAGACAAACAGACACTCAGACAAGCAAAGTATATTTATTACAAATAATTCCACATGTTTATTGAGAAATCTTCTAATTTTATAAGCTGAAAAGTAGTATCTAACTCACTATTGCTTTTTTTGTAGTCCTAAACATGTACATTTTAAAACTGTAAAGCACTTAAGTTTAGTTTATAGTCTTTGTAAATAAATGTAAAATTCTCATCGATTTCTACTTCAGAGCTTGAAACCTTTAAACAAAGTGCCAATGATCATTGAGAAATCCTGTAATTTCAGAAGCTGGTAATGGCACTGGCAGTGGTTCCTGGCTATATTAGCAGAAGAATTGCTAGAATTCAAGGACAAGTAAGCTGATTCACATTCAGGCCTGTAGCCTTCACACCAAAATGACAAAAAATGTTCCCTGGGACATTTTGGCCCAGTTCACAGTTTATTCAAATTTCGATTTAACCATTGGAAATACTCAATTATAATTTACTATTGGATAACATGCCTCGGGATTGTTAAAATTTGCATCAATAGACGACACATTTCGGTAATTACAGCTTTTGTTAATATAGGCTTGAAGGGACTGGGTAAACGTAATTTTAAGCGATTCACAATGGTACCCTTATTGTCAATGATCAAGCATGAATTCAATTTATCAATGTTTATAATTTAAAAACTTATTTTTTTTCAATTGTGATTTCTCTAAAAAAATGACTTGCACATTTCTGCTGCAGGAAAGCATATACGAGTGATCAGAACGATCACTTTTAATCCTAGAAAAAAGGTCTTATCTTCCATATCATTGACCAAATAAAGGTTTCAAGGGTACTGTTGTGATCATCTTTGCACAGAGGGCACTTGAAATTACGCTTAGACCTATAACTAAAACTCCATTTGATTACAGAGACTTCTTTATCTACATATATACAAAGTTGTAATCTCTGTCTGTTTGTTTGTTTGTCCGATCATAACTCAGGAACGCCATGACCGATCTGCATCAAATTTTGATCGGGGAACTCGGTAGACCCACGTGAATGTTAAAGCTTGGTTTTGAGATTTTAGAATGAGTGAGTTCACCTTAAACGGGCAAAATAACTAAAATTTTAATTTACGACAAAGCGTGAGTAAACGGTGGGATTAAGTATGACTACCCTGGGCAACGCTGGGTTCCCAAGCATAGATATATTTAGTTACCCGAGAACTGGCCTCTTTCCTTATCCTACCCTGCTCCCTCGGGTTACATGGAGACCAGAACCATTCTCAGGTTCACACTTTTTCCAATCTTTAATTCAGAATATATGCAGTGAGAACACCTGAAAACTCGGTAATAGGAAGACGACTTTTAGATTCAAGTTATGACATTAAATAGTCCAATGAACATGAGACACTGCAATTGTACAATGTAATTGTTAACAGACCCATTTCAGACTAAAATTTTCAGTTAAATTTTCAAAAATCTTGTTGATATTTCTGTCAAGAGTAAAAATGTTGCATCAAGAAAAAAAGTTGAAATAGATTAAGCAAAACAGCGGATCTCAAAATAATTCCCATTAATAGAATGCTTCGTATTTGACAATGAGAGTACACTATGCACATTGTACATACTTAAAGGGACTGTTAGCGTAATTTCAAGTTACCTTCCATACAAACAAGAAAGTGTCCGATTTACAACGGTAACCTTGAAACCTTAATCTGATCAAAATTGTGGAAGATACCCTCGTTTTTCTGACCCAAGAAGTGTTTATTTCTGTGAGTTCCTCCGTTGGTTCTAACAAGCAAGGAATGCGCAAGTCACCTTCGCAGAGAAACCGCAAAAGAAAATAAAAAGTGAAAATAAACAAAAACATTGATATAAAATTTATACTTGTCAAATTTTTAAGGCTCTGCTGTAAATCGGGCATTGCCATCTTTTCAAGGAGGATTACTTAAAATTACGCTTACTGCAGTTCCTTCAAGGCTTGAAGTTCAAGCAGAAATTATTTCTTCTAATAAATGATCAAATAAATTTTTACTTTTGAAAAACTTTATATTTGAAGAAATTTATTTGCCCTTTTTGATATGCTAGAAATAAACGCAATGTTTTCTATATTTGAAGGTTGTTGAAAATGAAGGAGGAAAACTCTTGCGAGAAAGATAGTTTCAAGGTTCTTGTAAACCCTGTTTTAAAAAACAAAAATGAACAACATGGAACCCCTGCCAGAGAAAGTCAAGCGGAACCGGGTTTGAGTGAGAGTACCAGGAATAACGGGCAGGCCGGGCCACCTGATGACGTAGATGGTTTGGTACAAGACGTCCTGGTTCCTATCTCCAAAATGGTTTTTCTTAAAATAATTTTCATCGATATTGGGATCACAGCAGGTATATAACATTTTTTTTTAATGCCATCCACAAAAGCTTATAATTTTTTGCCAGTAAAAAATAACGTGCATCATTGCATGGATAAGAAAAGTTGCTTTTTAAATTTTTTTTTGCTTTAACATTATTTGTTTTTACATTATCAATTTTATTTGTAAGTTTTCAGTTTCTTTACAAATAATTATCTATTTTTGGCTTTTACGCCAAAACTATAATTAATTTTCTATAATTTGATAAAGACCTTTGATTAAATATGTCTTTAATCAAAAAGTTTTCATCGAAACTTATTCTAAATTTAGCTGGTTATCAAAAAATTCATTATCCATTTCATCTGTTTTTTTTAAATTACACTATTAGAATAAATCCCATTGTTGTGTTTCTTTTTGTATTAATTTATTTTTTATTTCACAAAGCCAATCAAAATCTACTTCTTGCATTGCAAAGATTAAATGTCAACTTTTGTTTTAAGTTCGTATTTCATTTTATAAAAAAAGACAAAGGACAAATTTGATTATTTAAATCAGATCAATTTTTAAATTCGAATGATGGTTAGTGAAAAAAACTTCTCAGATTTTGTTGAACCATTTAAAAGTTCAAAACCTTAAAAAATGGTAGGGCATCATAAATTGTAAAACTATAAAAAAAAATAAAAAAAATATTTCATGTAAAAAAAATGACATCAGGCCGCTTTGCCCGACAAAATTAGCAGATTTTTCAAAGAAATGTAGATGAACATTTTTCAAGGATATTACTATTCCGTATGCCTCCCAGGATACTTTGGGTACGTCAGTAGTATTAGGGTTAAAACAAAAAAATAATTCTTTGATTTAGTATAGCGATACCTACTGAGAAAGCTGTAATCTGTAAGAGTTTCGTCTGCTATGTTCACATTTTGTTTGTTTATGTTCTGACTGAATACGGTTGTACTGTAAAACAAGAAAATTGCAGTATACAAAGACTTGTTCGTCTTCACTGTTCATCTTGCGGAGACATTATAGACACATATTTACAGTCATTTACCCTTTTCATAAAATAAACTCTAGCAGAAATAATAATATCATGGCTTTTGAAATCAAGTATTACAATGCTAATTCATAACAAATTCGTCATTGAATTCCCATATTTTTTGGGACACCCTTTATGTCATGTAAATAAAAATACATCAGGCAGTTTGCCCCAAATCTTTCTGACAAGCTTGACTTTCTGCCAAAACAAACTTAGCAGATGTTTTAAAGAAATGTAGATGAACATTTTTCAAGGATATTACTATTCCGTATGCCTCCCAGGATACTTTGGGTACGTCAGTAGTATCAGGGTTAAAACAAAAATGTTAAATCGGTTTTGCCGTTCTAACATTTATTGGATACAAAAAACCAAAACAAACACAGACCAAACCAAACCAAATTCAGAAAACTCTGAAATAGGAAGACGACTTTATAGCAATAATTAAGTGTATTTAATTTTGTTACAAAGCAAATAGTTTTAATAGTCACTTAATAAATCACAAAATAAGTAAAATGTGTCTTTTTACACTGCACAATTGCTGTTTTTTTTCTGCATATTTGACTATTTCCAGTCACAAATTGAGTCGAAAAGTCGTCTTCCTATTCCATAGTTTTCTGGTTATCGCTTTACATTAAAGAAGATTGCGTTTTAGGAGATGTTGCAACAGATTTAATCCAGGGTCTGAGCTTGACATTTGATGGAGCATGGAACCTTCAGTCCACTTGGGTTTATGGTCTTGTTATCTGCTTAGGAAAATATTAATCAATGAATCATAAAATCTACAGTGATAACATGAAAACTGTTAAATAGGAAGCTGACATTATAGTATAAATAGGAAGCTGACATTATAGTATAAATAGGAAGCTGACATTATAGTATAAATAGGAAGCTGACATTATAGTATAAATAGGAAGCTGACATTATAGTATAAATAGGAAGCTGACATTATAGTATAAATAGGAAGCTGACATTATAGTATAAATAGGAAGCTGACATTATAGTATAAATAGGAAGCTGACATTATAGTATAAATAGGAAGCTGACATTATAGTATAAATAGGAAACTGACATTATAGTATAAATAATGATTTTGTTACAAAGGAAAAAGTTTTACTAGTAACTTCTTAAATCATTTTTAAGTATAATTTTTTTGACTGCGCAATTGCTGTGTCATAACTATAATCTAAAAGTCGTCTTTCTATTCCAGACTTTTCTGGTTCTCACAAAAAAAGAATAATCTTTTAATATAACTATTTAAAATATCAAGGCAAGAAATTGAGAACAAAAAAGTAGAATAAACAAAAATGCTTCTTACCAACATTGTTAGAATATATATATGTAATATTCCATCATCTCATTTATTATAAATATAATTATATATGATGTTGATTAAGTTTCCGTGTCAGTAATGTGGCTTCCAGCGCCCATAGCCATTTTAGTGTACTCTGACGTCATCAAATCCAGTTCAAAATGGCCGCTTACCATATTTAAATGGATCTTATTTATCCTTTTCTTCCCTCTGGTTCCTATTGTCATGTTCCTTCAAATTCTCTTCACTAATAGGAATAAAACCATTATTATATTTCTTTGATTCGAGTTCTTTGTTGTAATATTAGAAAAGAACTTTAATGATATTTTTACCGAGATATTAAACACAATTGGGAATTCTCTGAATTTAATAGTTTTTGAAAAGAAAAAAAAGATTCTGGTTTTCTAGAAGATTCTCTTCCGGAGATGAACTTGTCAGTTTTGAGTTATTGGAAAAGAGAGCCAGAGAGCTGAAATCAATAACAGGTTTGACAATTCATCTTGCCAGAGATTTAGAGTTTGGCATATTATTATCCGTTTTTAGGTATTATTTGGGCTTTTTGGAGACTTCTATATATATAATTTGAAAAAACTTTCGTTTTTAGTTTCGTTTTGAGTTTTTCTAATGCAGAATGCAGATATACTCATCTCAGTGATTTAGGTGTACACCTTAGGAAAAGAGCACCCATGATACCAATGATGATCTCTCTCAGAAAGTTTTGATTAAGATTCCACAACGATCATTGTTAAAACTAACTAAGTGTTAGTTTTAAGCTTTTGAAAACAATCTTTCGATAAAACTAAAGTTTTCATGATGAGCGTTTTCAAAAATGGAAAAGCTATCCTTTTGGAATAAAAACTATAGTTTTGAAAAAAAAATCAAGAATTTTTTTTTGATGAAAAAATATTTTTCTTATTATTTAAAATAAAAAAAAAAATTTTTAAACTAACTTTTTTGAGTCGAGAGGATCCATTTTCCAAAAAATAAATGTATTTAATTTGTTTTCTTCAAAAATATAATTTTTTTTCTTCAAAACTATCATTTAAGGAGACATTACAAAAATGTACGTAGCCTTCTGTACTTATTTTTTATCAGTTTTCTTCAATGAAGTTATGCAAAAGGTTGACTCTGCAATAGGTTAGATGAGTCCAAAGCCAAGTATCTATTGTTTGCAGATTTTTTACAAGTTCCTGTAAAAGGTTCCGAGATTTTAAAAGAATATGCAAAAGTACTAGGAGCCCGTCCATCTCGTTGATAATTTATTATGCTGACTGTGCACTGTGCAGGTGCAATAGAGTCACCAGTTCAAGCTGTAATTATTTTCTGGTTAATGCTACGGGGTAAGATCATTTTTACAATACTAGGCATACAGGGAGCTTCGCGCCCATCTTCTATATCATTGTAAACATTTTCTCTATGTATACATTGTAAAACAAAAACAAAACAAAAAGTTCGCGGATTTTATAAAAAATTTCGTAGATTTTCAAAATGCAAGGACAATCGAATTTTGTTGGAGGCTAATTATTTTTTGTAATTTTGATCATTCATAAACCTTCTCTGGGGTCATGTGAGATCTCACTCAAAATTTGCGCCCGATCGGTTCAGCCATTTTGACGTTTATTGGACAAAAACAGACAAACAAACTGACAAGCAATGTTTATATAGTTTTTTAAAAATGATTATTAAACAAGTATTTAGAAAAAAACATCTCTTAAAACTTCATTCGCTTAATGGGACTGTTGACATGATTTAAAGGAACCCCTTCACAACAGTATACCACAGTACCCATTAAAGTTTAACCCTTTATCCCTTTATAATAAGGAAGATATCGACATTTTTTTATTGAAAAATGTTAAATTCCCACAAGTTTAATTATTAATTATCATCTTACTTTTAAAAACAACCAGCAATTGAAAATTATCATTTTTCATCTATTTTACTCAGATTAAGTAGATTTAATGGGTACAATAGTATATAATGCATTTTCATATACCAATAATTGACAGGTATATTTATTACAACAATTACAATTTGTTTAAAAAACCTTTTCGTACAAATAGGGAAAAATGTTTAACCTACAGTGATAACCAGAAAACAATGAAATAGGAAGACTACAATATATCAATTTAAGCGTAATTGTTGTTAATACTAAGCAAATAGTTGACCTAGCATTTTTAATAAAAAATTTAGTGGAGTTGGTCTGTTTACGACGCGCATTGGACATTTTAAAGTTATACATACTTCATTCTCAAAGCCGTCTTCCTATTCCAGAGTTTTCTGGTTATCACTGTAGACATTTTTAAATAAGAATCATTATTTCATTATATTCTAAACAAAACTAAAACGCTAATCATAATTTTGGATTAAATCAATTAGGTAATGTATATTTCAAAACAAATATTATGTGTTTTCATCTTATTAAAAGATTTCAAGAAAATGTTTTTTTTCAAACTATTTAATGACTTGTTGTTTGAGAAACTTTCAACTTTCTAATAATAATAATAATGGCCTATCGGTGTGTACAAAATTAATTTTTTCCAGGTTTTTTTCAATGATTGCAAAATATCTGGAAATTTATTTCAACCTACATGGAGCTACTGAGAGCAAGTAGAAATCATAGATAAAGATAGATTGCGCATAAGACGACATTTTTTATCTTGAAAGATATAAATGTACAGAGATGTTTTAAAGATATTCCTATTATATAGATTAACTAGGTCGGTTGTGAACATTGGCTGTTCTTATGTCATTGAGTACTTGTGGTGTACATGAGTTCTGTAGAGAGAAATT